GAGCTCCCAGACTCAGATCCAAAAAAATCAGTTTTATCTGCTTTGTTTTTCCTTCCAGTTTTTACATTTCTTGCTCTTTACATTTTTGTACTTCAAATTCCTGCACTGCACTTCGTTCATAGGAGTAGTTTCAAGTAGTTTGTTGCAGTAAACCTCTACGAGGCTGATTTGGATCTTTGTAAGTCTTTATTTTTACTTAATGAAATGCTACAATTGTTCTTCATTTAATCGTTGTTTGCTCGATTCTCCTAAATAAAGCTACCAGTAAAATTCTTTTTCATTGAGGCTGAAAGAATTAAAACACAATCATCTGATAATTGGTTGGTAATTAATATTCTGTAAGGACTAATTTATCCTTACTAGCACGCTCAAAATTACAATAATAACTTTCGAAAGCTATAAAAGCCAACACGTACACCTCCTCAAATCACTCCTACCTTCTTTATTCTATACACACGTCCTTATTTGTTTATTAATTAATTACATCATCAGTGAATTCTCATCATAAACTCATATAATTTTCCAACTCATGTATCATTTATATTCACACTTCTTTAATTATTTATTCAATAAATTATACTGATCTCTTTTTTAATAAAGTTAAAAAAATTAAAATTAATGCAAATTGTATGACAATACAAAAACACATAAGGTAAAATATAAATTTTAACTTAAAATAGATGGTAATACAAATTTTTCACTCATATAGCTAATAAATTTCTGATAAAAAGAAAATCAAGTGTTATATGAATTAAAATCTTAAAGGAGTCTAATATAATTATGTCAAATTTATGAGATCTATTGTAATTTTTTCAAATCTCACAATGTAATTTACCCTTATTCATAACTAGTATCCCTGCAAATACGTTTCTTATAGTTCATGTGCTATTACGATACAATCAATGTCTAAATTAATTTTTAATTATTGGATCTAATACTTAAAAAGTCTCTTGTTATTTTTTTGTTGATGTGATTAAAATGGTTTTATCAAGCTTCAAATCAAATTTAATACAAGAATTGACTTTAACATTTTTAATAATATGTACAGTCAAAAAAATATTAATTGAAGCTTAAGACTTTGGTGGAAATTTATTTTCCGAAAAATATTATAAATTTATGAAAAAATTTAAGACTTTAATTATTAATATTGATAAAATTAACCATTGATCTGTAATAATTTTTGTAATTTTATAAAATAACTTACACTGAATTATTATTTTTTCATTAATTTGTGACTTAATTGTTCTAGGTATTATTTTAGAACTCATGTTTTTGTTATCATTTATATCTAAAGTTTTTTTATTTTATCTTATTTTATTTTCTTGACAAAATACCTGAAGTTCACACTTGTACTTTTTTTTTTTTTTTTGTGTCTCAGGTTACTGTACAATACTGAACCAACTTCATGCATCAGCATTTATTTATTTAGTTTTTTTTTTTTTGGAGTCTTTCTTGTATTTTACTAATTGCTTCTTGTAATTATGAAATTGACGCTCTTTACGTCAAGTCCCCTACTGCTAATGTTTAGTTAAAGGAGAAACTAAGGTGTTAAAAAAAGGATAAATTATAACTTTTTATTCTTATAGTTTGACCCAATTATCATTTTGATTCATTTTATTTCAATTTCAACAATTTAGTGCCTACATTTTTAAGTTTTGATTGGTCATTCCAATATGAAAAAGATTGAACACTTGAGTTTGCTTAGTTATAAGTTAATAGGGGTGTAAATCTGGCCCGGCCCGGCCCATGTCGGGCCTCGCGGGCTCCCTCCAAAATTTGGGTCGGGTCGGTCACGGGCCAAAAAAATAGACCCATGGGTATTCGGGTCTTGGGCGCGCTAGAGGTGTGCCACATCTCGGCCTAGGCCATACCTGCCTGCGGACAAGGTTCAAGTGCAAAACATCTCGGCAATGAATGCCCGAGGTGAAGATGGGTTGAACAAGACCTCGAAAACAAATCTACGTACAAGGTTCAAAGGCGGACTAAGCTCAAGATGACCTCGGCTACGCACACACACCGAACAAGGGACAAGATCACGCAAGTAATACTAACAAAGCAAGGCAAACAATCCTTCCAATTAACATAATAAAGCAAGACCATGCAAGGATGTATGCAAGTATGAAAAGAGTAAGGTGAGGGTTGTTACACAAACAGTACTTGTTCATTTCAAAACCACACCTGTTCGGTTTGAATATCAAACCTGTTCAGTCCTATATATACCAGATCTGTTCCAGCATTTCTTTCAATTCGAAAATTGACTGAAAATTACATTTTGCTATCCTATTTTTCTCCTTTGCATTATTTATTCTTCATTCTAGTTTTAGAGAAAATTAAAGAGAGTATAGAACACAAGGTTCTAGTTCGCCGGATAAATTTGTTTGGAGTGTTACTACAAATTTGTGAAGATCATTGTATCTTGGGAGATAGACGCCACTTAACTGTAAGCACCGTAGCAGGGCAAATCTATCTTAAGGACAGAGTGTTACACACTCAACTTGATCTTTTATTTTTCATTCGGTTCGATAAAATAAATTCTATAAATTATTTATTTTATTTATTTCTAGTTATTTATTGTACACAAAAAATTATTCCAACAAGAATTTCATGTTTTTACTTCTGCTCCCTCCTTTTTAGCTAAACATTTGTATGATGACGAACGAGGGGCTGTGTAACCCAAACTTGTAACTTCGATAACTCCTTAATTTATTTTAGTTCTCTGTTTATTTTAAAAATTAAAAAATAATAATTAAAAAAAAACAACTTTTTACACCATTTTTTATGTTACAAAGACCTGACAAGGTGTTGATGATCATGGGCAATGCTTGCTGTGGGGCATGCCTGCCGATGCTCAGATTGGTACAATTTCAAGTTATATTAAACGCAATGGATAAGACCCTGTCTAATCAAGATTCCCCTAGCGATAGAAACATTCCAAATTAAGAAGAAAAAATATGAGTTCGGATCCTCTCCTTGAGGCCCCTCCTCCATTCCCTCCTTGTAACGGCTCAGATGAGCCGTTGTACATCCAACGGCTGAGATTAAAAATAAAATAAAATAAATTGAAATTTTTGTTGATCTCCCGCTCAAACAAAAACACGGTTTATACATTCACTTGAGGCCCCTCCTCCATTCCCTTCTTGCAACGGCTCAGATGAGCCGGTGCACATCCAATGGCTGAGATTAAAAATAAAATAAAAAAAATTGAAATTTTCGTCGATCTCCCGCCCAAACAAAAACACGATTTATACTTTCACTCTCACTCTCTCACTTTCACTCAGCCTCACAGTCGACCATGGTCGTCCACCGAACCCACGCTCACTGGCAACCAGTCTCGACGGCGACCCAGATGGCGACCCCACGACCCCATGACGACCATAACTCCACCGCTTCAGCCTTTACGCTTCGTGAACTCCACCACGATGACCACCATCAGTTGAGCATAGATCTCTTCTTCACGAACCAGGTTGGTCTTCAAACGTCTGAAATTAAGAAGTTATATGTCTGAAAAAATGTAGGGCTTTTAGAGTTAGAATTTCTGAAAAAATTTAGGGCTTTGATTTGGGATTTTGAAACGTCTGAAAAAATTTAGGGCTTTTATATTTGGAATTTCAAAATTAGGGCTTTGATTTGGGATTCCAACGGCTACAAATTTAGGGCTTTGATTTGGGTTTCCTCTTCTTCTTCTTCGTCTTCTTCTTCTTCTTATTTTTTCCATCTCTGTCCATATGTTAGTACTTCTGTAATTTTCTGCCTTAAATTGCCTAAATACAAGCCATCAACATTAATATCAGTAGCTGTAGCTGTAGGATAAATAAATTTTAATGGCTTCTATTAATAAATCAATTTTAACAGGTGTGTGTGCTCCATAAAAAACATTTTAATGGCTTGAATTCAACTGCAATAAAACATAATCAATTTCAGTAAGTCTAATTATGCAGAAACCAAATGTTGGCTAACACTTGTTAAAGGTAGAAATCATGGATAACATGGATAAGTTAATCCGAAAGGACCACGAACCCCCTGTAAAGTAAGTTTCTTGCTATTGTTTTGCAATTGGGATTTGATTTTTCTTGACATAAGAAGGACAACTCTCATTTTGTATGTGCTTTTTTTTTCCGCCTTTTATTGTATTTGAACCAATCACTTGAGAATATTGATAGCTAGTTGTAATACTCTTATACAGAGCATCAATTGAGTGTATATTTCTGGAAATATACTCGAGGGGAATTTACTTATCAATATGTACGCATGTGCTCAAGGGAAATTTCTAGCAAAAGCTTTATGATGCATGATTAGAACTTCTTAGATGGTGTATTGTATGCATATATGATAGTTGTCAGCCTTAATATTTTATTTCTGTATTCTTGCCAATAAAAAAGAGGCTTAAACTTCATAACTTTGAAGCATGCATAGCATTTGGAGGTTCCAATGCTTAGCCCATATTCCACATGCTTCCTTTTTTTCTGTAAAATGTCTAATTGGGCTATAACATATGGTTGTTGAGATAGTAATTAGATGGGGAGTTGTGTTAGTAAGATAATTGTAAGGGAGGGTTCAATTAAATATCGATATTGGAGTTAGGGGTTAGTGGACAGAGGTTTAAAGTTGGTGAGGAACTGTTACTGTACAAACATAAAAACAACCCTGAAACCCTTTATAAAAAGCAATGTTTTAGGCTGTAAAACAGTGATTAATAATTTCTGAATGCCAGTATAGACCTTCAACATTCAAAGAATTAAAAATAATAAAAATTGAAAAAAAAGAAGAAGAACAATAAATAGTAATCACAATCACTTTGAAGTCATTAGGCATCAGACATACGATTATGATTGCATATCTTCCGACTGTTAACCATGAGTATTCATTAGGAGTCTACCCTTGTGATCCTATATACTCTACCTTCTTCTTAACACTGAACACCTTAAGATAGGTTACTGCCCAGAAATCTAGCATTGTTTTCCTGAATTCAGTGCAACTAAACACTTTGAGACCTAATCAACTTTAACCCGTCAAATCTACATAGCCTACAAAATTTGTAGCACTTCTTAAAGGTAGAAATTAATTTTTATGTAGAACTACAATGCTGAATAACAGGTAGAATAGGTTTTTTGTGAGCCCACTACAATGTTGGTTTCAAAACTAAATTGGTTTCTCGAGGGCTGACTGTTTGTGTTGTATTGTCTATGCAGATTTAGAAATGGCTTCTTCTTCTACTAACAACAGCAACATAAGATTAAAACCGAGACTGTGCAATTGTGGAAGAACAGCTACCATACATATTGTAAGAACCAATGACAATGGAAATAAAGGGCGTTTGTTCTTTGTTTGCCCATCAAAATATGTAAGTATGTATTGGAAATATTAAATATGTAAGTAGTGACAATTTAATTTGTGTTATTCGACTAACTAATTGTTGGTTGCATTGTAGACTGAAACTCCCAAGTGCAATTACTTCAAGTTCGTGGATGAAGATGATGAAGATGTGACGTCCACAATCCGTTCCAACACTAGAGCTTCTGATGGTGTTACAGTAGAACACTTTAACGAGCTGAGGAGGAGGCTGTAAGACGTGGAAAATGAACATGATGACTATGGTCGAAGGCTTCGAAGGGTGGAAAATATTTTGAAGGCGATGGTGTATTTGATTGTATTTTCTATACTTTTGTACTTTATGATGTAATGTTATTATGGATTTATAGATTTAATGTTATTATGGATTTATGGATGTAATGTACTTTATGACGTAATGTTAGTATCCGAAAAATTTGACTAATGTTATTATGGATTTATGATGTTTGTACTTTATGATGTTTTTATGAATGGAATTTGGGAACTTGGGAATGATTTGAGATGGTTTTTAGATGGTTTATTGTCCTCTAGTTTATGAATTCCAAATTTTTTATACTCAGATTTATGAACTTGGGAATGATTCCCAATATTGTCGTCTAGTTTATGAATTCCAAATGTTTATTAATTAAAACATTCTGTTGATTTTTAGATGGTTTATTGTCCTCTAGTTTGTACTTAGATTTCTTATTATATGTCCTATTGGATTTGATGAACTTGGGAATGATTTGGATTTAATGAACTTGGGAATGTTTTAATTTAGAGGACAATCTGTGAGATGGTTTTTACAAAAGTTATGGTTTGTTGTCCTCTAGGCTTAAACTTCATTTATGTTGGTTGTGGTTCATGTTCATTTAACTTAGTAATAGGACATAGAATTCATTTACCAGCAAAATTCATTTACCAGCTTCTAGTTTATGAATTTAGTAGATGCATACCAGCAGAATTCATTTACCAGCTTCTGGTATGAATTTACTAGATGAACCAGCATACCAGATGCATACCAGCAGAATTCATTTACCAGAATATGAACCAGCAGAATTCACCAAATGTGAACTAGCATACCAGATGCATTTACCAGCAGAATTCATTTACCAGCATATGAACCAGCATACGAGATGCATACCAGCAGAATGAATTTACAAAAACCATATCAAATGAATTAACAAAAACAAAATCATGTGTACAACATATGAATTTACAAAAACCAGATCAAATGTACAAAAACCAGCATACCAGAACCAGCATACAGTGTTCAAAACAGAATCTGCATAACAGTGTTCAAAACAGAATCTGCAATTCAAAACAGAATCTGCATAACAGTGTTCAAGGGTCCTGAATCTGCAATTCAAAACTGTTAACCATTTCTTGATACCCATAATACCAGAACCAAGTTAAATGAACATGAACCATAACCAACATAAATGAACATCAACCAACATCAACTAAGTTAAATGAACATCAACCAACATACCATAACCATTGCAGACATAAATGAACATCAACCAACATCAACCAAGTTAAATGAACATGAACCACAACCAGCTCACTTGGGTTTAACATATAAATTAAAATCAACTGTAACTGAACATCAACCAATACAAGTTTAACATCTAAATTAAAACATTGGTCCATCAAAATTGACACATTGGTCCATGTAATTTAATACATTGGTCCATATAATTTAACATTTGAAACAGTTTGCGTCGCAATTTCAGAGGCCATGACTTCACTTTGCAGCCCAATTTCAGCATAAGTTTGCTTCTGTTTCTACTTGTCCATAGCCTAAAAAAAAGACAGAATTTTTAGCAAGTAAATACATGATATCACAGAATTTGCAGCAACTATAAATTAAAAATACATCAAGGACAAACCTGACTGCACATTGGAGTAGTTGATTCTTGAGAATATTGAAACGCAATGTCATATCCACATGAACCTTGCAGTAGTGACTGGAATGTTGGTTGAGCAGAATGCCGTTGAGACATTGAAGTTGGCAAATAATTTGGCACCACATATATCTCCCGCAAATTGTTCGCCTACAACAATGTCATATATTAGGCGTCGCAATTATGGTTTCAGTCATGGTTTGAGTCACATATTATATACACACAAAAAATACAATGTTAAAGTAACACTTACATGATATGTGGGATACATCAATGGCGGAGGAATATAATTACCACCCATGGACAAAGATGGAGGAAGAGGATGAAGGAGAGGAAGAGGTTGAAGAGGAGGAACATGTTGACAAACATATATATCTCCTCCAACAGATAATGGAGAAGGTGCAACTGTTGAATTTGCAATAGATTGTGACGAAGCCAAGCTGTTAGCACGGGATTTTTTTTTTGGAGTTCGCTACCAACGCCGCTTCGAATCCACCTTTGACCCTCCTTTTGCCCTTACTAGTTGCCACTTTTTTCTTCAATCCTTTTGGTTGCACAACATGATTCACATCTTCGCAATCCACTTCAAAGCTTTGGGTGTCATCATCATTACCTACTTTATTTCCAACACCAAAATGAGCACTTAACTTGCCTTCAACATTTGCACCTAATGTAGCAAGGTGTGCAATACAAAAATCATAAGTTTCTTCAGTTTCAACAGCTCTACTTGCTACTGCTCTAAATGCGGTCATCAATGTCTTATACCGCGAGGCTTGTTGGAATTTCACATCTACTTGAATGTCATTCCCCTTAACGTCCATTACAGTTTGGGCTCTTGCTTGTTTGGTCCACCTCTTTAGAATGTATTGTGGAGGAACCTCTTCCATCTTCAATATGTCTCTAATAACCTTCAATGAGTGACAACACAAGATTCCTTCCCTTTCAAACTTTGTATAATTACAACCCAAAAAGCCATCCCTCTCCATCTTCACTTTCATTTCATGTTTGTTACCAACATCAACAACTGTGTAAATGGTACTAGCCTCGCCATATTCAATTGCTTCTATATCCGATTCAATGGATTGAAAGTACTTATTTTGAAATTCCTCAAAGATCTTTTTTGTGTAGACATTACCCATTTGAATTAACATTCTTATTGTTGCTTTCACCTTTGGTAACCTTTGGCACAAAGCATATCCTGCTTCTAACTCCTTGTATCGCTTCTCATAAAGTACAATTTCGAAATGCATGAAGAATTCATTTAAGTTAAAATCAGAACAAATGTAATCCTTCAAAAAAGCATTAAAAGATTCACTAAGTTGTGTGGTACTCATTCCCGCAGCCCATGTTGATCTAACATAAGGCCAACCCCATTTTTCTTTCACCGCAAAAGTCAATTTCAACTAATGGTTTTCATGCGCATCATATTTATCAAACATTTTCACCCACTCTAACTTCCATTGATTTGCATCTTCAATGTGAAAGAAGAATTTATTTAATATACCCTTCACCCCCTTTTCTTGGAACAAACAGTTGACATGTTTTAATGCATTTTGCATCAAATGCCAAGTACACAATCGGTGACTTGTGTCAGGCATAACGATGGGTATGGCTTTAGCCATTGCAACATCTTGATCGGTGAACAAAGTTTTTGGTACCTTTCTTGACATAGCCTCTAGAAAATTTTCAAACAACCATACAGATGATTCGACGGTCTCATCATAAAACAATGTTGCACCAAATATAACTATTTCCCTATGATGGTTGAATCCCACAAAAGATGCAAAAGGTCTATGTTCTTTGTTTAACTTGTAAGTCGTATCAAATATGACAACATCACCAAATTGGGCATAATCCATGATCATTTGTGCATCGGCCCAAAACATATTGGTTATTTGCTCCTCATTATCTAATTGAAAAGCATAAAAGAATGAAGGATTCTGCAAAGATTTTTCTTTAAAGTATTGTAACGCATTGCCTACTTCCCTATATGCTAAACTTTGTTGTCTTTTGGTTCTCAAATAATTTTTAGAATCTAATTTCGTAAACCCAAGTGTAGACGTCCTCGAACGCCCCGGGAGGATGAGTCCCGTTCTGTTCGTCTTTAGGCTCACTACAGTTCGGACTCTAATTGTCACGGTTCTTAATCTGAACTAAAGAGTCCAAATCCGACAAATCGTTTTGAAAAACAGATTTTTGTAAAGAAGTGCCAAACATGGACTGCTTTGCCAGATATAGAGTCGCCACCTAAATATTTTATTTTGGGAGAATTTAGGAAATCTTGACTCGTTTGCCTAAGGCCACGTGTCCGTCATCACCAGAGTTTCCTCGGCTCGGGAACTTGGGTACGATTGGGAAAGGTCAGCTATGAGCACTCCCTCTCGCCTGATCCGAAGATCGGCCTCTACTAATCATGATATCTTGTTTTGAAAACATTATGTGTTCTTATTCTGGTTATTAGCCTAGATTTACTACGTGATGTGCACAGCAAACAAGTATAGACTAGATCGCCTAATTTGGAACAAAGCATCACATATCTGTTTGTTTGGAAATCGGTTTGAAATTTGCTACTCACAAGTAGGCTAAAACACGGATTTCAATGAATTGTTCCAACTCAAACAATCCAACCTTCACCCATAGGCATTCAGGCAGATATAACACATAAGCATATAGCCTCATGGTAAGCATGCTGATATGGCAACACTCACACGCATGCAAGATGCTAAAGCATAAGAGCTTACCTAGTACTCCAAGCTAAAACAGAAACTAGTTAGTTATCAAATGCATGATCCTAGTTCATGTTGAGATGGCTAATGCAACACATACAAAATGCAACTAGAATAGGCTCGGCTAATCTAAGATGACATATGATGATGCTACAGCTATCACGTATTCAACTTGGAATTGAAATACAATGCAGTTAGTATGATGCGCCGAGCCCGGTGCATGTAAGACTAATGAATGATGCAAACATGCGAGCATAAGTATGCTAATTGAAACATGCCCTAATACTAACCATTGAAAGCAGGTAAGTAAAAGGGAGAAAGAAGTGGGGGTTGGAAGACATGCACACACACACCCACACTTATTACAAATTCGCCCTCGCTCGGAGGAACCAAAAGAATATACAAATTAATTAACCTACAAACTAATTAATTATTACAGACTACCTAACTAGTAGAAAGTAATAAACAACCTCGGGAAGAGGGTCCAATGCATGCGTGCTCGGGTTTGCTCGGAGATCCATCGCTATGTACAAGCTGCCTCTGTTTTCCCTGTTCTGCTCCTCTGAAAATTGCACAAGTCCCAAGGCACACTCCATGGACACTATAGAACACCACCGACCAAGGAGAATCACCACCGGCCAAAGGGAGTTGGTCATCGACCAATTATGGAGCTCTCGGCCACAAATATTTGGTCAGTCGGCAGTATAGATGGTTGGCCGGCCAAAGCTTCCTGTAGAAACCTGTTTTGACAGTAGCAGAGGATAGACA